ATCTATCCATCTATCCATCTATCCATCTATCCATCTATCCATCTATCCTATCTATCCTATCTATCCTATCTATCCTATCTATCCTATCTATCCTATCTATCCTATCTATCCTATCTATCCTATCTATCCTATCTATCCTATCTATCCTATCTATCCTATCTATCCTATCTATCCTATCTATCCTCTCTATCCTCTCTATCCTCTCTATCCTATCTATCCTATCTATCCTATCTATCCTATCTATCCTATGTCTCCTATGTCTCCTATCTATCCTATCTATCCTATCTATCCTATCTATCCTATCTATCCTCTCTATCCTATCTATCCTATCTATCCTATCTATCCTATCTATCCTATCTATCCTATCTATCCTATCTATCCTATCTATCCTATCTATCCAATCTATCCATCTATCTGTCTATCTATCTATCTATCCTCTAACATCCTGTCCTGCATCCTGTCTATCCTCTCCTATCAGTATAGCCATATTAAACCCTGCATTTTCGATTCCTATCTATTCCTATCTATCCTATCAATCGAATCTATCCTAATCGCCTATCTATCCTATCTACCTATCTATCCTTCGGATCCTGTTGAGGAGAGTTTCTATCCTGTGGGGGGCCTGCGGAGCCTAAAAGGCATCCTAGTATCCTAACAAAAGACTGTGGTAAGGGCTCTTTCCTGACTCCGGGAAAAGAACTTTATCGCCACAACGCCGGCAAAAAAGACAAGGGGCTAAAATAAAAAAGGAGGATATGGATAGAAACGATGCAAGTCCTATGTCCTATCCTAAATATCCTCCCACGATCACCATCTATCCTATCTATCCTATCTATCCTATCTATCCTATCTATCCTATCTATCCTATCTATTCTATTCTATTCTATTCTATTCTATTCTATTCTATTTATCTATCTATCTATCTATCTATCTATCCTATCTATCCTATCTATCCTATCTATCCTATCTATCCTATCTATCCTATCTATCCTATCTATCCTATCTATCCTATCTCTCCTATCTCTCCCCAATCTATCCCCTCGACCCATCTAGCCACCCCTTCCCATCTATCCCCATCTATCCTGTCTATCCTTACCTTCCATCAATTCATCCTATCTATCCTATCTATCCTATCTATCCTATCTATCCTATCTATCCTATCTATCCTATCTATCCTGTCTATCCTATCTATCCTATCTATCCTATCTATCCTATCTATCCTATCTATCCTATCCTATCCTACCCTATCCTATCCTATCCTATCCTATCCATCTATCTATCCATCTATCTATCCATCTATCTATCTATCCATCTATCTATCCATCTATCTATCCATCTATCTATCCATCTATCTATCCATCTATCTATCTATCTATCCTATCTATCCTAGTTTACATGTCAACGGCTAGGTGGGCTTGGGACAAGTAGAGGACTCTCAGAGGCTGCTCTCTCCATAAATCTTTGATCTCCTTTATATATCCTTGATCATCATTTATATTTGATCTGGATATATATTTATGCTCCATCTTTTATTTATATAACTGGGTGATCACCTCTTTGGCTTCGGAGCAGTTGTTCAACTAAGGACGGCTGGCCGATGACCGGGCCATTTTGGCTCCAAGAAGGAGTGATCACCAGGCTTGATTTTTGTGCCCCTTAGATCGTGTGATTGGGCCTGGGATTTTGATCACTCCTAGGATGTCTAATTCCAAAGCTTCTGTTTTTCCACCTGCTCTGAGCCGTCAATTTGCAATGGCTGCTGCTCGTTCCAGTGACCAGGGGGTTGATCAGGTGCGCCCTGATGACAGTGCCAGTGGTGTGGGCTCACAGGCCTCATGGAGTGTGGTTCCACCTGATGCTCCAGAGACTCCTGTCCAGCCTGCTCAGGCACCTGAAGCACCCCCTGGGATCGACAAGACGGTTTGGGACGAGGACTCCGATGATGACGTTCCCCCAGCCAACTGGTCGGCATATGCAGCAGCAGAAGGCTCTAATGCAGGCTGGGCTCCAGCCACGGAGGCTGCAAAGCACTTGCTCGGCAACAAGGAGAAGCAGACGGCCAAGCTTGCTCAGCAAAAAGCGAGGGCAAAGGCTCGAGGCCACAAGGCCGTTCGTTGGGGCCAGATGCCAGTGGCGGGAGCGTTCAACCCGCAGAACTACCAGCTCCCACCTTTCATCAAGCAGCTGGGCTCTGGGAATGAAGAACGGTCGGTGTTGATTTTGGATGCAAGAGATCAACGCATCCAGAGTCCCTATCAAGGGTGGCTCTTGGACGAGATCCTGCTCAACGCACAGTCGGGCATCAACATCCTGTCAGATCGTCAATTGGTTCGTTCTCCTGCCACAGGATACCACATGAACCTCTTTTACGTCAGGGCGATCGATGGGTACAAGCTGAATTGTGGTCGGGTCTATGACATCTTATGGATGGGTGCCATGCGCCCGGTGGGACTCTTTGACAGGGTCAGTGCTCTCGCACCCGGCGTTCCAGCCATTTCGGTGGCCCATCATGCGTGATGATTCATCAACTTGGGTGGACGTCAAGGTGAAGATCGAGGGCTACCTGCTCTTGCACTTGGAGCTCCGTGGATATCGTTCAGATCAGGACATGTCCGTGCAGCTCAACTACATCAACGAGGGTCTGGTGATGACGATCAAGGAGGTGCTCTTTGTGCCGTCAGTCGCTGTGACGATCTTCCAAGGATGGAGGGTTGTGGCAACCTCGTTCGAGGTAGGTGGGCGGCTCTACGTGTGCAGCGAAGGCGGAGTTGTGGTGGCGCTGGATCATCCCTTGTGCCACTTTGAGGTCAGGATGACAGCCCTGTCCTCAGCTGACTCGATCGGCATGGATGCTGATCGCTTGGAGTTCCGCTTTCGCACCTCAGGGGACAAGATTGATGTGGCTTGCTCGCAGGTGATGGTGCCCTCAACGTGGCTTGTTCTGTCACGAGTTTCGGGGCCAACGCTCATCCAGAATGCGCGCTGGTGTCGCGATCGACAGGCACGAGTGGAGGGTCCTGACCAGACAATGCAGATGAGCCAGCTGGCTGGCATCCATGCTCACTGGACGGCGGCCACAGAGGCGTTCACGCTCGAGGAGACGGGCCCCAGGGTCGGAGCAGTGGCTGTCGACACCCATGTCGACAACTTTCATTTGACTTGTGAATCGCCATTGTTCAAGTCTGAGATGGTGATCGTCCCCAAGGAAGCCTTGGCGCTCCAGTACCACGACCGTGGAGATGAGCAAGCGATGATCGTGGTGCCGCCAGTTGCAGGTGGTCCTGCAGCTATTCCTGTGGAAAATGCTTTGGGCTCTCTGAAGGCATTGACGGGTTCGGCTGGGGCCCCAGCTCAGGGTGATGCGATTGTGGCGGCGGAGAGCTCAGCCAGTGAGAGTGGTCTGACGCCATCAGCTCCAGCTACGGGTGCTCGAACCTTGCAGGTGCAGCGCCGGTCGTTGGAGGCGAGGTAGAGAGAGAATGTGGCAGTGGCAGCTCTGCCACCCCAGGCATTTGTCGCCCAAGTTGATCAAGTGCTGCAAGGGTTGGGAGCTCAAGGATCTACCACTTCAGTGCCTCGTTCGTTTGGCCCTCCTCCAGTGATTGAAGAAGCGGAGGAATCCCTTTTGTGATATTTGATCGCTTTTGAAGCAGATCCGATCGTGCCATAAAATGGCGGAATAGCTCTTTGAGCCAAACTCTCGGCCGACAGGCTGCACAGTGCTCAGCGTGACAAAAAGAAGGGTTCAGGGTCGAGCCTGGCAAGCGGGAAGTTTGTCTTGTGCTTGGCTTGTTCATTGAACCCGCACAGCTGACCCCAGTTTATTTTATTTTATTTGATCACCCTGATTGCCCCCTTGTTCTGGGATGACCGCCCTGCTCAGGTATGTACCTCAGTCGGTGTTACGGATTCTCAGATCGGGGGTGAGGCAGAGCGACAGACTCTTAACACTGAGTCAGTCATTTGCTTCGGCCTGATCAGGTCAATATAGGTTTCTCATTGAAGGGGTTTTCAGTAGGTCGGTAATGTTTCTCTGTGATTTCAACTTTTTGTCAAGTTGCTGAATCCGCTCGGTTAATGCATTATTTCATAGTTTTGTTTACCTTTCGCATGTTCATGTTGTGCACGTATTCATCTGCCACATGTTCATGCTTTCACCCAACCGGCCAACCGTGCTCAGGTTGGGCACCCAGTGGGTTGTGGGTCCCTAGATCGGGAGTGAAGCAGAGCGACAGACCTATTTTGTGGGTCAGTCATTTGCTTCTGCCTGATCAGAATGTGTTGGGTGAGTGCGTAGGTGTGAAGGTCTGAATTTTAGTTTTCGTGTGACCGTCATACTGGCGCTCATTTCCTGTGAACATTTTTGCTGATCCCTTGCTCGGTTTCTGTAGCGACAACTACAATGGCTCAGAGTGCCGAAAGATGGTCATCAAAAATTTTAGCACTGCCTGTGTTCACAGATGCTTTTGCCCAGGCGGTGCAAGCTTCACCGTTCGTCAACTTAGCGTTTGTGTCTGCCATGGAAGTGCACACGGCACAGGAGTTTGCAATGAAGGTCAGTGAGTGGGCACCACAGCTCGATGAGTCAGTTCGTGATGACCTGCTGCGCTCATCCTTCATGCTCGAACAGTTTTGGTTGTTGGCTGGTTCTGTGGAGAAAGCTTTCTTTGAATCAACTGCACTGCAACTGGGGTTTGGGCTCTGGGAGATGTCTGCTCCCCCTATTAGCTCTGAGACAGCTAGGGCTCGAAGGGTGGGTGCCATTAAGGCACTGACAGACAGATCTAGGCCCCCCAGAAAGATCCTGAAAGCTACCCCTGATGAGCAGTCCAACACCCCGCTGCTCGACCAGGAAAATGCAGCAAGATGGAAGTGGGCTGCTCGCCTGGAGGAGATCGGCAAAGCGGCTGGGGCCTACTCTAAGCTGCTCATGGAGACGGCGAATGAGAGTGGCCTCTCCCCTGCTGAAGTGGCTCGGCTGCGGCAACTAGTGCTCTCCTCAGGCGCTCCTAGAACCATGGCTGCGCATATTTCAAACTGGGAAAGGTTTGCTGAATGGGCTAGGTCGAAAGACATTGCTATTTTTCCTTTAGATAGCTCTAAGTTAGTTCGGTATGCCCTTCATTTGGACAATTTAGAGTGTGGGCCGTCAGTTGTTCCGACCTTTAGAACGTCGGTTAAGTGGATCACGGCCAAGCTGGCGATCGATTGTCCAGACGTGGATCATCCTGGCTTGCTAGCAATCCAAGCCGATATCATCAACAAGCGCGCTCGCACTCTGAAGGAAGCAGTTCCAATCCCTACACAAGTGGTCAGATGTTTTGAGCTCCTGGTTGTGGACACCAATGAGCCAGATCCCACTAGATTGTTTGTGTGGTGGTGGCTCTGTATGGTGTTCGCTTCCCTGCGTTTTGACGACGCGATCCATGTCAAGCCCAACGAGCTCGTCTTGAATGAAGAGGGGATGTTTGGCGTGGCATGGCAAACTAGAGTCGAACGCAAACGTAGAGGCACCAAGTTCGTTGTGCCGCATGTGAGCTTTTCAGGTGTTGATTGGCTTCGTGCAGGCTGGCAGTTGCTCATGCAGGAGGACCTTGAGCGGGACTTCTGGATCAGGAACCTGAACACAAGGGAACAGTTCCAGGCAGCCCCAGCCAACTACCAGCGTTCGGTTCAGTGGCTCAAGTTCCTTGGGCGCTATGCGGTCGAGCACTACCACGAAGGGGCCCATGAGGAGTTCAAAGAGCTTGGTGCAGTGGTCAACAAACTGACAGCTCACTCAGCCAGGGTCACCATGTTGGATGCAGCTGTTCATGCAGGCCGGAGTTCTGAAGAGATTGGTCTTCAGGCGAATTGGAAGAACCCGGGGCCGCTAGTTCTGAAGTACACCCGCAACAGGTCGGCCATTCCGGCCAAGATGGTCCAACAGCTCGTGCAGGACATGCTAGTGCACCAGCACCCCCAAGTAGGTGGAGTTGGATTCGTATGATCCCGCAGCTTTGGACCAGATCCGGACGAAAGGAAGGAAGAAAGGAAGAAAGGAAGAAAGGAAGGAAGGAAGCAAGGAAAGAAAGGAAGAAAAGAAGAAAGACAGGAAGGAAAGAAGGAAGGAAGGAAGACAGAAAGGAAGGAAGGAAGAAAGGAAGAAAGGAAGGAAGAAAGGAAGGAAGAAAGGAAGAAAGAAAGGAAGAAAGGAAGGAAGAAAGGAAGGAAGGAAGCAAGGAAAGAAAGGAAAGAAAGGAAGAAAAGAAGAAAGACAGGAAGGAAAGAAGACAGGAAGGAAGACGGAAAGGAAGGAAGGAAGAAAGGAAGAAAGGAAGGAAGGAAGGAAAGGAAGGAAGGAAGAAAGGAAGAAAGGAAGGAAGAAAGGAAGGAAACAAGAAAGGAAGGAAACAAGAAAGGAAGGAAGAAAGGACGGAGACGAGAAAGGAAGGAAACAAGAAAGGAAAGAAATAATGATGTAATATTACATGCATAAGAGATCATTCAAATTACATGCAGGCATCACCGTAGCAGTTGCGTACTGTTATTTATGTATATGTATATATACATATATATATATATGCATTTATATACACACTTATATATTTATATTTAAATATATTTATATTATTTATATTTTCTGTTTATATTTTTATATACATAGTATTTCTATTTATGTTCAAATTCAAATATATATATATATACTTACATATAGAAATATGTAAATATATACATATACTTATATTTATGCATGTATATATACACTTATTTATATATATATTTATGTATTTATATTTATATATTTATATTTACATATTAAGATATATATATATATATTTATGTACTTATATATATATATACACACATTCATATGTATATACATATAACTGTATATATATATAAATGAGTATGTATCTACAAGTATATATACTGTATTCCACATGTTTCCAGGGTGCATGTCGTGTAGTCTATACACCTTGAGTATCACATTCAAGCCAGCACCTTGCATGTGAAAATAGGTGTTTCCAATCTGCTTTGGGGGGGAGGCGCTGCGCCCTTCCCCTGAATCCCCCCCTCCCGCTTTTTTTAAACTATTTAAATAAAAAAGAAAGACACTTTTCAATACACTATATAGTTTGATTCGACTATATTCATATTTATGTTAAAATTTATGTGTATATATATATACATATATCTAGACACATATATATATAGACACACACATATATATATGTATATATATATGTATGTATATATTTGCATTTATATATGCACTTATATATATATGTACTTATATAAATGTATATATATATAAATTAATATGTATATACATATCCATGTAAATATTTATATAATTGTGTATCTCTCAGTATATATATTTACATAAATATATATATATATAAATATATATATATATATACAAATGTATATATACATTAACTAACTTGAGACTCGGTCTTTTATTCGAGATCCCGCCGTCCCCAGTTTCAAGAGAGGTTGTGACATGCCTAGCCACGAAGTGTCTTTTTCATCTGACTTTCACACTTTCTCTGATATCCGACCTTCCATCTCCAGACATGCTGTCGCGTCGCATGTATGAGCATCGCGTTATGGAGCAGCTTGCTTGCTGGGACTCGACCCTTTATTCGGTATCTGTTGGGATCTCAAGAGAGTTCTCCAGACGTGTGATCGCCTCGCATGTATGAGCATTGCGTTATGGAGCACCTTGCTGGGACTCTCCCTCTGAGTCGGTATCCCAAGAGTAGTTGTGATTTAATATGCGCTGGTATCTGTTGGGATCCCAAGAGAGTTCTCCAGACGTGTGATCGCCTCGCATGTATGAGCATTGCGTTATGGAGCACCTTAATGGGACTCTTCGTCTGAGTCGGTATCCCAAGAGTAGTTGTGATTTAATATGCATTGGTATCTGTTGTCTGCTGACAGTCGACCTTTTCTTCGACATCTGACCCTCCCTCCCCTGTCTCCAGACACGTACGAGTCACTTGTATTAGCATACCTCGGAATTTTCTTGTTTGATACGGACCACCTGGATATTGCGGACAGATCGGCAATCGACATCTGACCCTCCCTCCCCTGTCTCCAGACACGTACGAGTCTCACTTGTATTAGCATACCTCGGAATTTATTTTTTTTTTGATGCAAATTTTATTTTTTTTGATGCGTGTACCACGTTGAAATCTTGGACAGTTCCATAGAAGTCCAGGGGAATATTTTTTTTGATGCAAATCAATTTTTATTTTGATACTTATGGGGATATTTTTTTTTGATGCGTTTTTATTTTTTTTTGATCCTTCACCCGAGTGGTGCAGGACTTGACCAACAGCAGCATCGCTATGAATTTGGAAACAGAGAGGCTTTGGAAAGTGAGGGAGTGATTCGGAGTGATGGATGAAAGTCCTGAGACCTGAGCCATACAGCTTCTTCCAGGCAAAAGAAACAGTCTAATCTGCATATTTTTGAAAACATTGTGTTGCGGCAGGCAGAAACAGATGGTGCCTGCAGTGAATGCGCTGACTCAGCTACTGCAGCAGCTTCAAGTGGAATCAAAGAAGACGGATGACCAAACTGAGGCCTTGGGAAGACCATGAGGACCGTAGAGGAACCATGAAGAAATCAAACAAAAACACAATTGTGATGAACAAAAGATGCGTTCATTTTCCTTTAAAGAGTCCTTTTAAAAAGAGTTTAAAAGTGCTTCGAAATTCTGATTTTGGAGCTTTGGCGTCGAGATCTGATTCTGGGAGCTTGTTGTGCTTCCGGTATGCAGTTATAAGGTGTTTTGCAAGCGGCGACTGCTACTCGCATTATAACTGCTGCGGGAACGTGCTTCCAGATTACACTACGTGAGCAGTTGCAAAATGTGTAGCGGATCACGAAACTTGTGCGTCATTTTCTTACATGACATAATGTTGGATCCTGATTAGTGTAGGGGGTTCCCCCCCTCAACGAATGGGTCACCAAACAAACCGGCGGTTCTCAGAGTCTGCTTCTCATGTTTGGTATTGATTGTAACCGACGGCCTTTTAAATTCCTTATTCTCAGATTTTATCTCAGAGTCTGGAATCCTAAGTATTAGATTTAGATAGATTTAGTATTCATGAGATCAATTTTCTCTTCGTCTCTTACTTTCCTACTTGCTGTCCTATTGCTTTCCTATTGCTTTCATATTACTGTCCTATTGCTTCCTATTTCCAACTTCTTTCATATTATATGGAGGCCTATTTTTTTTTGTTTTTTTTTTCTTTTACGTTTTTGGATTTTTTTTTGGGTTTCTTGTTTTATCTTGCTTTCTCCTTTTTTTTTGCGTTTTTGCTTTTGTGCTTTTTTGTTTGTTTTTTTTTGTTTTTTTTTGCTTGTTTGCTTTTTTTTTGCTTTTTTGCTTTTTTGCGTTTTTGCTTTTTTTTGCTTTTTTTGCTTTTTTGCTTTTTTGCTTGTTTGCTTTTTTGCTTGTTTGCTTTTGTGCTTTTTTGCTTTTTGCTTTTTTTGATTTTTTGCGTTTTTGCTTTTTTGCTTTTTTGCTTGTTTGCTTTTTGTTTTTTTGCTTTTTGTTATTTTTGCCTTTTTTGCTTTTTTGCTTTTTGCTTGTTTGCTTTTGGCTTTTGGCTTGCTTTCCATGGCTTTTGGTGGTATTTTTAGTATGTCAAACTTGCACATTTTTCAATACACTAGTTTGAACCGACTATATTCATATATATATATATTTATGTTTAAATTAAAATCATAATATATATATATTTACATATATATATATATGTATATTTATATATATATATTTATATATATGCATTTATATACACACTTGTATATTTATATCTAGATATATTTATATTATTTATATTTTCTACTTATATATATATTTTATATATATACATATTACTACTATTTATGTTCAAATTCAAATATATATATATATATTTACATATATATATATACATATATATATATATTTACATATATATATATACATATATATATTTATATATACATATATATATATATTTACATATATATATATATTTACATATATATATATATATATATGTAAATATATTTATATATATATATATTTATGCATGTATATATACACTTAAATATATATTATATTGATATATTTATATTTACATATTCATATTGATATTTTATATATTTATATTTATATTTATATATTTATTTTTATATATTTATATTTACATATAAATATATATTTATTTACCTATATATATACATTCATATGTATATACATATAAATCATATAAATGTATATATATATATATATAAAGAAGTATGTATCTATAAGTATATGTACTGTATTCCACATGTTTCCAGGGTGCATGTCGTGTAGTCTATACACCTTGAGTATCACATTCAACCCAGCACCTTGCATGTAAAATAGGTGTTTCCAATCTGCTTTGGGGGGGAGGCGCTGCGCCCTCCCCCCCAATCCCACCCCCTCCCGCTTTTTTTAATTATTTAAATTCAAACTTGCACACTTTTCAATACACTTGTTTGATTCGACTATATTAATATTTTGTGAAAAATTATATATATATATATATCTAGACATATATATATATATAGACACACGTATACATATATATATATGTATATGTATATGTATATATTTGCATTTATATATACACTTATATTTATATATATTAATGTACTTATATAAATGTATATATATATATATACATACATACATATTAATATGTATATACATATCAATGTATATATATATATTTACATAAATATATAACTATAAATATATATATATATATATTATAAATACACATACATATTTACATATAGATATACAGACGTATACATATATATATATATGACATATTTGTGGTTGTTTTTATACACAACTTTGATCCCAACATATACAACAAATAATCATGTAATTATACCTAATTACATGTTGTATCCCTAAACCCTAAACCACACCCTGCATATACATACATGCATGCATGCATACATACCTACCTACCTACCTACCTACGTACATACATACATACATACACACATACATATATATATATAGATTGATTGATTGAAGAAAACCAAAGAAACCTTGCAGAAAACGATGGAAAATTGAAGAAAACCATGGAACAATTGAAGAACACTATGGAAAAATTGAAGAAAACCATGGAAAACTTGCAGAAAACCATTGGAAAACCATGGAAAATTGAAGAAAACCCGGGAAAAATTGAAGAAACCAATGGAAAAATTGAAGAACACCATGGAAAACTTGCAGAAAACAATGGAAAATTGAAGAAAACCATGGAAAATTGAAGAAAACCATGGAACAATTGAGGAAAACTATGGAAACATTGAAGAAAACCATGGAAAAATCGAAGAAAACCATGGAAAAATTGAAGAGGCACGAACCCCCAAAAAAATTCCAAAACTGTAAAAAAAAATACCAAAAACAATTCTGCACCCATATTATATTCCTATTGCTTACTATTGCTTCCTACTGTTTCCTTTGGATCCCTTGGGTAAGTTGAGAATCTTAAAGGATGCAATACTAATTCAAACTAAATTTAAGGAACCAGAACCTCAGAGGAAAAACCTTTGCACAATTGCGAACCCACAAAACATTTTTGTTATTGAGAATCAGTGGCCAATGTGGACAGGAGCCTTTGGAAAATGTTGAAGGCAATGATTATACAAAAGTTAATAAGGGGTTTGATCTCTTCGGTAAGTTGTGAATCTTAAAGGATGCAATACTACAATGAAACTAACATGACACTAAAATGAAACAAAATCTTTTTTTGTTCTTGTAGTAGTAGTAATAGTAGTAGTTGTGGTTGTTGTTGTTGCTGCTTGCTTTGCTTCCCTGTTTTTTCTAAGAGGTCAATTTTTTCCTCCTGAAAAAATTGGCCCTCAGAAAAAAATTCACAATTCAGAACCGCCAAAACTAATTTGCAAATACTGAATTAGCAGCAAAACTTTTGACAATTCAGAACCATCGCGTTAATCAGCATCCAACATTAACATATATCTGACATCATCGGTTCAGACATATCCCGAAACTTGTGTGTAACATACCAAGATAAAACATTTTGTATGAGATCTCAAAGGTGTCATGAGACTTGTACACATATCAAACATTTTACATCATATATTGTGTCGCTATTCCTTATACACTACTTCTTACATCGCTGCTTACATCGCTGCTTCTTAAAAATTACATCCTTTGAACTATTCCACCCATAACGGAGGCATTGGACGAAAAAAATACATATCTTTACTTGCGTGGCATTCTGTCTTTCGGGTTCACACTCCGGATCTAGTTTCATGAGTGTCCTTGCCACGTTTTGCATGGTGCGCTGCTGAAGGCAACCACGGCAGAGATCTCAACGATGCAGGAAACGCGTGACGCCAAGGTGGAAAGCTTGGCGCAAGATGTAGACTCTTTGAAGTATGGCATCGTGAAGCTCCAGGACAAGCACATTCACATGTCAGTTGTAGACGAAACCGCTTTCATGTAGTTGATGTCCGTTGGTACCCGTCCTGGCCCACTCTGTAGCTTGTTGTGAGAATAACTGGTGGTTCAACCGGGAAATAAGTAAACGCACCCGTAGGGATGAGTACCTTATTTCCAAAGTTGAGAATTGTCCTGTGAGAGGACAATCAACCAGTTTTAATTTTCTTAAACGTCGCTTCTTATTTTTAAAATCCGCATGGCTGATGGGAATAAAGCAGTGCAGCAATGCAGCAACAGCGCATCGATCAGATAGATCAGACAGATTGAAACGTGTTTCAATGTAATCCAGCGCTTTCACGGCGATCGCAAATGTCACTTGGTGCAGGAACAGGTGTGTGCAAGTGTGCCTGTTGTGTACGGACTTCGCAGCATCTATATGAGTTTGATGTTTTTGTGATCCCTTTGACATGAGGTTTCATTTCATTGATTTCACGGCTACCCAGTCGCCAGACGTCAGGAGGTGGAAACAATGAATGACATTGGAGATATCCAGGCGATTTCAGAAAGCCACAGTTGGATGGAGAATGCCACTCATCGATCATCTCAGTGTTTCGCAAAGTTTTTCCATTTCGGCTCTTTTCTGTGTATTTCTGAGTACTGATTGCCAACTGATATTCGGAAAGACGGATGAACGAACGTGCTTCAAATACAGTTTTAGCCAACGATGCGGCTAACATGGTTTGTTGTCCATCGTAATTTGTGGAGGCTAAGTCTTTAAAACCAACCTGCTTATCCGAGAATCTTGGACAGGCCTAAACGTACCACCTTCATGGTTTTCCCTTAGTAGCTGCACAGCTGAAGGGTTCATAGTTCACCGCGAAGGTTTCACAAAGATTGTCGTTTTGGCGGGCGAATGTCTCGACACAGCGGAATCAAATGCACAATGTTTTGATCCTCGGATGTTTTGACTGTTTCTGCCTCCGTCATTTTTACATTATCAAAATTATGACATTTTATAATGTGGTTATGTAAAAATTATGCCTGTTCTTCTGTTTTTGACTCCTGGTTCTACATCCCTCTCCTCCAGGCCATGGGCGTTCAGACCAGGCACGGTACGATCAATGATGGCACATTTCAACGGTAAAGCCGTGGCATGCCGTGGCTACTGTAGGTCTGAAAGGTCTTTTGGATCTTTTGGTTTGCTTGATTCATTCTTGATTCTGTTTGTCTGTTTCCCTGATCAAAGCTGTCATGCATTTTGTATTGTCACTCACCGAGTGGTGGGCGCTGAGAGCGGAAGGGTCAGTGATTTTTTCCTGTGCTGACCCTTCAGAAGAAGGGAAAAGCACAAAGATCCGGTTTATGGGTGCACACGGTATATTTGTCCCAGGACTAGTCCTACGAAGAGACGAGAAAATTTGCGCTGCCACCTGTTGGTTTCTGGCCCCGCAAACCCTCCCGAGGCCATGCGGATCCAGGACATGTTCCACTTGTCCCAACTCGCCGGAAGCCTCTCAGCTTCCAGCAGAACGGTTGGGTGCAGTGTTGACGAGAAGTATCCAATTTGTTGTCCTTAGTAGATAGCATTTCATTCCAGGCACCTTAGTAGATAGCATTTCATTAGTATCCAGGCACACACCACTGACATAGCTCGTTCAAAGAATATCCTGGCCAAAAACTGCCACGCTGACAGCCTCCAGCTCTCTTGATTTTAGCACCCCTGGCAGCCTGGCGGCGAACGGCAAATTTTGTGAGGAAGTGGCCGTCAAAATCAGCCTATTAAATGTTCAAGATGTTTTCGATTACCTCGCTGTGCCATGCGACAGAGCCACGTCAAGCTGCCCGGCGGTCACCCATGGTCTTGTTCCATGCCCGTCCGGCCCAGGTGGATACAATGAGCGCGTCGAACCCATCAGATACACAGCTGATCCTCTCGAAGATGGAGGGCGAGTTTCCGGGCAGTTTGACAGTGGGCTCGTACATGTTCCAAGGCTTGGGAATAGGATGATGAGTTGCATCACCTTTTAGCTGCCATGAAATTGGTGATATACTGATCAACGTTGGTTGATGCTCAAGCGGGATATTATATTTGTTGTGATCCGTGATTCACGGCGGCGGCAGTGATGACCAAAACCATCCGTTCTCCTTATTACTCAGGTCCACTCCCAGATAACCAACACCGGGATTGGTTTTTCTTAGTTAATTATGTGTTACATATTACCTCATTTGGCGAAAATTTTAGCGTACATTCTGGTATTCTATTTGGCGCATAGTCTTGCGTTCTATTTGGCATACCTTCTGACGTTCTATTTGGCACTTTTTTGCATATATCTCGGGATATGTTCTGGTGATTGAAGTCTGCCCATTGCGATCTGGAATTGGAAAAGGAGGAGGAGTGGAGGAGGAGTGGAGGAGGAGGAGGAGAGCTATCTAAAATCTAACCGGCCACATTTGTAACGCGGTGAAAAAACCAACATTTGCACACTTCAAAGTTTGTGTGAAATATTGCCAAGAATTGGGTTTTGAAGGTTTCGCTTCATACCCGCATGAACATCTATGTTACTGAAAACTACATTTCTTGATTTGAAACGGCGCCCTTATGATAAACCATCTGGGTATATGCGTTCGTTTTTTTAGTCAAGGGCAGAAACCACTTTTGGGATGCTGCGGTTTTCCTATTGACTTGCAATGGCTCAGTAAAACGCATTTACAACCACAGAACATCCGCAAACCCGCCAATCCAGACTAGTTTGCTTTCATTATGGGGGACTTGTACCTTTAGCATTAGGGAAAGGGGTTACTTTTGCTCAGGGCTTTATGATTTGTGATGTGCATGAGCTTGCACGGACATGTTTATATAATGAACTTCCCCAAAACCAAACGTGTGTTCCAAGACTGGTGTTGTGGATAAATTTGCGCAGGTGGGTTTCAAGTGTGCCCCATCTGGGCCTGCATCGCCAGGTGTACGCCCGACCAATCGTTGTGGTTATGGTTCAAAACCTTGCATAAATACCAGCATTTTTCCGGGCCCCTGGTTCCAGATTGGTCGAGTCGGATTGATATTTGCAGGGTTCTGGGCTGCAAAGTTTTGTTTTTTTTCACAAATTTCGACGTTGCCATGACTGGCCCAGGTTGTCCAGCACGAGCGTCCAGGTGAATAATTCGCAATTAGAGCGCCTGGAGGAATGTCGCTGGGATTGTCCTGGGGATTGTCCCGGCATGATTATATGATATATGGGGCTTGATTTCTAGCGAACTGCGGGCGAGCAGCAGATTGCTGACAATAGAAGGCAGACTTCCTTGGAAATAGGTTTTCTTGCCCCAAACGAGCACTGTCCGATCAGTGGTACCACTATTCACTTTAATTTCTTTTCAGCTTTGCTCATTTATTCGTTGACCCCTTTCCGTTTTGGCAGCCCCCTGGCCAGGAGTGGGTGGAAGCGTCTCGTGTCTGCAAGTTTGATAGAGGATGGACGGTGCGTGCTGGCCGGACTCTTTCCCAAAAAATTGCGATTTTGTCGCTCTGGCATTTTGTGTCCTTCAAAGCTGCATCGCAACTTTGGGTCCTGAGGTCAGAAGTAGAGAAAGACATGGCTCTGCTCCTTGGGAGCAATTGAAGCAGTTGGGGAGGGGTTTGGGCGCCCACTGACCTAGTCCATCTTAACCCTACCCTACAATTCAGTTTACGGGGATACGGCGTTTCAAACATGGGCTTGTAGTTGCTTCATTTTTTTGCGCCTGACATATGTATTGTTGATTGAGAACTTATTATTTATTGCACCTTGAGAAGAGAACCATATGCCAATGATTGCCAAACCGTCTTCAAGACTTGACTTTTGATCACGGGTCTTGGAGCATCGATTCCCAAATCTTGAAGGTTGTGGGGTGATACTATCAAGCCGTCTTGTCAGGGTGTGACATAGTGCGACGCAGTTCCAAGGCGTGTGACCCAGCAGCACGAGAACCTTTTGCGAGAATCTTGTTTTTGAAGGGCGGCCGGTTCCAATAGCAGTGCGGTGGTGTTGGAGATTGATGTCAGGTAGGGTCTGCCAATCTAGGAGGGGTCATGAGTACGACGTCATCATGATGTTCAGACCTGGGGGGAGGACATCCAGGATCATTACGAGCCTGTCAATACAAAATCTCACAAACTGTACCAACAACAGGGTGTTCTTTCAATGGATTTGTTCAGGCACAGGCCGCCCTCCTAAACACTCCTTGGCATGAAATTGTTGGGACAGGTGCCCTAACAAGAAAGGGGGGACCACCTGCGCGCGCAATTCAATGGTTCATCACAGAAGTGCTGAACAGAATAACATAGAACCAATGAAGAAACCCATGGTTGTGTCAATTTGGAATAATCGCGTGGGCTGTACTTCTTCAGATCAGGACTGACCTCAAGCCTTGGATTCGTTTAGATCTAGTCGATTAAGTTTACTCCAGGACTGGGGTGTAAATTATTTTGATCCCGTCAGTAGAGCCAGTTTACTCCTTAGAAGAAAATCGCATCCACTTTGGAATCGCGTGAGATTTGTTGATGGTGGGCGTCATTGAATCCGGACGAAATGGTGACGTGAGTTAAGAGAAAGCAAAGCACACAACAAATAATTCTCAACGCAGAAGAACAACAAGGGACGCACAGGCACAAACACACACACACACCCACACACACCCACACCCACACCCCCACGCACACACACACACAAAACACAAAACACAAAACACAAAACACCAAGAGAAAACACTTCTACACCAGAGCAGCTGAAACCCTGGGCATTTGTTGGATAAGTTTTGCGACGACAGGAACGTCATTGGAAACGTTCATGACAGCGTCAAAAACAACATATTTCGGTAGTAGTTTGGGATTAGCTAGGGAGTAAACATTCAAGGCTAACAAAAATGCCCGCAGTACAGGCCAGTGCTTTTCATGTCGCTTCTGGCGATGCTGTCAGGAACTGCAAGAGAAAGTGAACCACATCGAGTTGTGGTTTTCTTTGCGAGGCCAGCCAGATATTGACCACCTATTTGGACATTGGTTCCATATTGGTCATGCAGTTTTTGTTT